CGTCGCTTATTTCCGTCGAGCGGGATTTATCAGACCCGGCGCGACTCAGGATAATTAAAAACAATAATTCAAAGGATAAGGTCGAGGCCGTGGCACAGGGGGAGGATTCGATGGATTCGTAGTGGAGGTGCGCAGGGTGAATAAAAGTTGCTCGTCGGCGGCCTATCTCGGAAGGAAAGCCCACCCTGCGTGGCGATAAATTAGCGCCGCGTTATTACACCCCGGCACGCCATCCCCGGGGTGCGAAGGTGTCCTGGGTATTTTTAATGAAGGAGAGTGAGAGAGAAAAGGAAATGTGAAGGAATAAGGAATGCGACACTTTCGCGCACAGGGAGGTAATACCGGCACGCGCCAAGAAAGGAGTCGAGGGGGTGATTACCGTCCTTCGGGGTTCGCATGATAAGGATTCCTTCGCAGGACACCCGTCCATCAGAGATGCCCGTAATAATTCCAGAGAGGCGAGAAACGTATATGGTCGACGCGACCAACCGGCTGCTCCTTAGACGCGAAGTGGTCCCAAATGGCGGAGGGAAAAAAAAATGGGTAACCCGGTCCAGAATGGACACATCGTCTCTGGTAAACGTCGAATGGATAAATCATTAATTTCGACTGGTTTCTCTCGCTCGAAAGTCCAGGAAGTGTCGAAAGGAAACGACCAGGCGACACGCGTGCTTCGCGGCCATTTCGGGCTGAGCACATCCCGATGCAGCTGCACAGGAAACCCGAGCCCGTCTCTCTCTCGACGACGTTCGACCACTGATTAGTGCCAGAGGCGTCCTCTAAGGCCCGAATTCTCTCAAATTACCGGACAAAAAGTGCCTCGGTATTCCCCCGGGGACTCGGCCGGGCGTAATTAGATTTCTCGTTGCACCTAGCGGCACGTACGGCGATTTTTATCGAGGACGCTTTATTACTCGTGCGTCGCCTCGCGTCGGGCTCGCGTCGTACACGGATATTAGATTTGGCAAGAAAGGCAAACGCAATTCCGCCGACCGACGTTCGTATTAATGCCGTAGGTACACACAGTTCACAGAGGTCCCCGGGCCATCTTTACGGCGAGCGAATAACGCCCCGGCGAGGGAGGGCCCGTCGAACGTTTACGTTTACGGCCGTCCCTTGACATTCGAGAGCCGTGACGAAGCGAGAAATCCGAAGAGCAACGCGAAACCCGAGACTCCTGTAGGCCCTTCTAAGGAGCAGGACATGCCCCTCGGGCGGAAACGCCGAAATACCCCGCGAAGGTAAAGGGATAATAAAAGACACCTGCTCCAACCGAGCGAGATCTAAAATCGATCATCGATCTACCCAAAAAGGATCGACTCCCACGAGGGAATCACCGTCAAAGTGGCCCCCTAAATTCCTGGGCCCACGATTTTTGTTTCAAGTGCCCTCAAAACATTCAAGCACCACTTCGCTCCCCGATGGACCGGAGCCGTTAATGACTCCACAGTGGCATAAAAACGGGAGCAAACGTCCCCCGGAAAATAATATCCCACGAGCCCGGGGAGGGGGAGAAACATCCACGCGACGGAAGTATCCCCTCCGGAGTGGGACGTCTCCATCATTTCCAAAGAAAACTCCCGCTGCCTGGAGTCCCGTAACGAGACATTCAATCCGGGGACAAAACGAGCGTGGGGGAGGAGGGGAGGGCCGAATCAACGGATAGGAGCTCCTCGGAGGATTCCGCGATTCCGGCTCTCCCAGGGGTCCCGGAGCGATCGGTGCTCGCACAATATCCGGCATTCGTCGTTCAGGGCCCTCTCGAGGGGGTTCCCCCGAATGGGTGCTTTGCGGCGATTTACAGTCCGCCCGTGGAGGCGCGTTCTTCCCAATCGGCCAACGAGGACTCTCCGGTTCAGTCATCGGGCCACTCGAGGTTTCTTTCGAGGCCCGAGGACCCCCGAGAGCGTTCCCTCTTATCGCGATCGTTCGTTGACGAAAGAGTCGTCGAGAGGTTCGTTTCGCGACTCTCGACCTCGCGAGCTTGCCCGGACTCGAGCAAGGAAACAAGGAGGTCCTTGTGGCCGTGGATTCCCGGAGGAGTCCCCTCCCCCTCGCCTCGCAGTTTCCGAGCAATAATGGCAGAACGATCCATTGTGACGGGGAGTGGCCGCGGGACGGCCGTTCCGCGTTTTCTCCCGCTCCGCTCGGCGGCGACCCGTCCGACGATCCGGCGCGATCTCTCCTCGGGACGGCAAGATCGAACGAGGAAACAAGGAGGTTCTTGTGGGACCCCTCTCGGCGGGCACACGATAATTCCCTCCCGGGCGCAGAATGCTCGCCGGGTGCACTCGCCGGGTCTGAGTAATAATCCATTGTGATAGGCGGAACCCGGGCCTCTCTCTCCCGCTCCTTCTGGCCGATGCACCCAATCTAACGATCCATCTTAATTACGCCGTGTCCGTGCCCTTATTGCGGCACGCAACCGCGGCCCGGCTTTGGCCCGATCCATTTTTCACCATTTATTACGACCGACCGCTCCGATAGCCCGGCCTCTCTCGTTAGACGCGACCGATCGCCTCTAATCTAAATGTAAATGAACTCTTTTTCTTCCTTCCTTCCCCTTTTCACCGGCGAATTCAATACCGGCGCGCGTCCACTCCGGCCGGACCCTGGCAAAACCAGCGAAGGGGACGGAGTGAGGAGGATCGATCCCGGCTCGCGAACGACCGCGGAGATTTTTTTCACCGTTACGAGGATACGTTATGCAGCCGTATTTACAGTCCTTGAAAAATTCAGAGAGAGGAGGGGCGAGAAGGAGAGAGAGTCGAGGACGGAAGCTACGACGAACCTAACGTCGTTACGAGGGGATCACGTAAACCCGGTTGCAGTCAAACTCGACCTCGTAATCCGATCAGCTTTGGGCTCGCGGTTTTATCGGGTCTTCGCCGGAACCGCGAAATGTCGATCGATCGCGTGATTACTCGATTCTCGGAGTTTTTCCTCGGGCGAAGAACGGGAAGTGCGACCTGCCGAGACGTCGTCGTCGGTTCCCAGGGACCGGGTTTACCGTTTATGCAAAGAGCCGGACCTCGAGATTTACCAACGATCGGGCACGGTTTCGAAGGATTTCATCGTCGGAAGGTGGGAAGCACTTGGCCCATTACCGCGCTGAAATCCACGGAACCGTTCTCGGTGCTAATGGCCTAATCGAGTCAGCTTTTTACCTCATCGCGTGCTCGCTTGATTTCCGTCTTGCGGACCTTGAAAACCAAACTTGGCCAGAAAAACGCGAAAACGGTAATCGGGACCACCGTTCGAAAGGATTTAATTAGATTATTTCGACGAGTCGGGAAAAATTAGGGTCAGCTCGTGGACCCCAGGGTCGACGTATTCGACTTGATTAAGGCCTTCTTTACGACCGCTCGCGGCACGTTAATCACGCGAAGAGAGGGAGACCGGCTTAAAGGGAGGAATTATTCGGCCGGAGCGATCGATTTTATTCCATAAAATCGGCTTTGAAATTTTCTATTCCATTTAATAACGAGCGCGTGTCCCCGCCCAGTCCCGACCAGGAGTCATCATTCATACGCTCGACGTATCATTTTTATCATTCGTCGTCGAATGCGGCATAATGCGAGGGCTCGGGTATACCGGTACACGTGTACGATCTCGTTTCTCGGTTGGCCGGTAGGAAATAAATTACGGGCCTCGCGTTCAGCCCTAGTTTATTGTCCCAGCCGAATCCATTAAAGCGATCCCCGGCGATAAACCAGCCGATTCAAAAATACATACACACCCGAAGCGACGTCGCAAAGGGATTCCGTATTTCTGGACTCGCGGAGGGAATTGATAAATAAAGGAAAAAGGGGATCCAAAGAGGAAGCGACACGGGGAGGACCGCGATCGAGCTTCCCTAGATTGCCGGCCCGCGAAGCCCCAAATTAACGAAATCATCAACCTCGCTGAAGTAATCCGACCCTTCAATTAAATATTCCCTCCGCCCCTTGGGGTCCTTTCTTAACCGCGACCGAGTAAAAAAAAAAAAGAAGGTCCCCCTTTAACAATTAATTCAAGAACGGTTTTGCGCGTTCTTCTTCTTCATGGGAAGACCTTAAAAAATGAGCTTCGGGTTTCCGTATAGCCATGCGGTCCATTCACCGTCCAAAATTTGCTCCTCTGCCAGATTATAACCAATCGTCGGCCATAATCTCTCGATTCCGCGTCGCGGAATAATCCGGCGATCCGCTCGTCCTAACCGGTGCGTTTCGGGCCGCGCGTCGAATCGCGGGAATTCAATCCTCAGGCCGGTAACGTTATTGTGCTCATCGGCGCGAATCGTGCGTTTTGGATTACGGTTGCTCGATTTTCGGAGGGTAAAGGTGTTTACGCGTGCCGATACCCGCCGTTCGAAATCGCTTATTCAAATCACGGCCGCGAACGATTTTCGAACGATCCCGCGAGTGGGCCTCGAGCAACGTTTCGGAGATTTACCGGTAATTTCGAGCTTTAAAGGATTTCAACGTCCAGCGGGGAAGTAACCGGGCGCGATTTTATCGAAGCCAATGTAATTATTTGCCCACCAATTCGCGGATAATTGACGACATAATCACGGAGTGGCAAATCAATCGGAGCCCGGCCGTCCCTGAAATTCGGCGGTTCGGAAATTGTTTCGGGCCGGAGTGATTATTTACGCGAGAGCGTTCGAGTACTTTGCCGTCGTCACAGTGGCTTCGTGGTGGAACCGTGGACTCCTGATTCGAGGGCTCAAAGGTGTTTACTAACAAAGGGAGTCCGGACTCCGGTCTCCATTCAAAACCGGGGAATCCACGGCAACCACTTTGAATGGCACCGGCGGGCGGTGCTAGGATGTCCCTCGCATGGGTATCAATTATCCTAAATTGCTCCAAGGTGTTTCCTCCAAACAAAGCAATTTCTCTAACGCGTCGGCTTCCGGATACTTAACGAGAATCAATCTGAAAATTAATCAGTTAAAAAGCTTGATGAAAATTTCACGTTAATACTTTCGGCATCGGGAAGCAATAATTCGAACGACGTACCTGGGGTCTTCCGATGGTCCTGCCGCAAGAGCCACTCCACGTGCTCTCGAGGAAAAGTTAACTCCGATCTCCTGGCTCGCTGCTCCTCGCCTCCTCGAAAGTCTTCCAAAACCTCGGCCTGGCGAGGTCCTTGGCGCTGCACGTGGTCCTGCACCCAGTACAGGGAGAAATTATGGCCACTTTCCTCGGGTGCGAGACGCGTCGCCGATCCCACCGCCCGACAAAAATTCGCCGGAATTAGAAGTCGAGACTACTCACAAGGGAACATCACGGCACATCGGTGAACAGTAATTGCGACGCCGAGAACCACGCGGCGTTCGATCCGGAGCACACTGACCGCGTCCCGGCACGAGGTCCGTCACGCGAACCCGACTTATATAGAATATACGTTATATATTATACATATATTTACTTAATAAAATTCAATCGAGAGGGACGAGGAGATCGCGTCGTCCGCACTGGTCACGCGTCCGCGCGACGCCCGAACTGACTGAGCCGAAGTCGTCCGCGCACCCTCTGGATATCTTGATCCGCGTCACTCGGCGCGAGGTTCACGCGGTCGCGCCGCCGGCGACCGGTCCGGCGAGGTCGGCGGCGTCGGGGGAAGGAGTCGGGTCGGTCGGTCGAGGAACCACCGAGCGAGACGGGCAAGCGCGAGAAGAGAGACCGAGCTCCGGGCGCAGGCACACCCCGGGAGATGTTGCTCGGCGGACGTCCACGCTCGCTCTGCGAGGGCGGCCGCGAGCGCCGCGTGCGCGCGCACCCGCGCCGCTCCGCGACGCCATTGGTCCACGGCGGTGAAGGTTCTCACGGAATTCGGGGTCCTTCGCCTCTCGCGCCGCCTCGAGTGACAACCGCTGCGCGCCGAGGCGAGATTTCTCGTCCTTCGGCCGGTACTCTCGCGTTCTCGTCCCTCGCGGCTGTACAAAATGATTGAAAAAAAATATATATATTTCAGGGAGAATATTTCAGAGCCCACGACGCGAGGAAACAACCGACGTCTAGGAGCATCCGGATCATCCGGATATTTAAAAATTTTCAGACTCGCGAGCCTGAATTTGCGTCGCTGCCAGAGGTGGATGGCAACCACTGCAGCGAGTTGCAGCGAGATTCTTCATCCTCGGGCCGTATTCCCATCGCTCGTCTCGAACGTCTCGGTTAAAATGTACCCTCTGGCCAATCATCGGCCGATTCTCGGCCAGGCCGGCGAACTATCGCGGTTTGCTACCGGGCCCGGTTAATGGATATTTAAAACGGCTACGTGGCAGGCATCGCGGCGCAATCGACGCCGCCCGGAGGTGGGCTTCCGAGGCAGTCGTCGAAAACATGGAAAAACATCGGTACCGATCGATAACGTCGTTGCAGCGTTGATGCGTGTCGTTACATCGAATCCCGGCGTTGGAGCGTCACGGGCGCTCGTTCGAGTAACGTCGACGCATCGATGGGTACTCGGCTTTTTATGCAAAACCTCGTCGGCGTTTACGGTAGCACCGGGGGGATGCTCTTTCGCGTCCTCGCGGCAATTACCCGGCAGTCTGTATAGGCGCGCCGTGATTGGTCGCTTCCGGTGGGAGGAGGCCCGCGATTGGCCGATTCCGTTGGATGCGGCCCAATCGGCGCCGGCCGTCCGCATGCCCGGCATTTTTGCCCGATCGAACGAGTTTCTTTTCGAAATAGCCAGGAACCTGCCGTTCCCGGCGCGGAGGGAGAAGTTCCATAACCGCAGCCGGGTGCCGGTACACCGCCGCGGAATCCGTTTACACGGAGCCGTTGAACTTTTTTCATAACGCCGAAAGCGTAATTAGCCCCGGCCGCGGCGACTATCGAATCGCGGAACGCGCCCGAAGGGCCGAGGCTTTCCTCGACAATGGCGCGGGAAAGGAAGACGCCCGGGGAAGTATAAGGTCTCCACCCGCCAGAATCCACTTCGAGACAACTCGCTGTCGCGAGTATTTCAATTTCAGGATCCTGTTTCAAGTTCTACGGGCTATGTCGCCGCCGCCGGGAGTTACGTTTCCAGGGGCACAATGCCGCAGGATGCCTCGCTTAGGGTCGCCCCGGAGTGCTCCGAACGAGGACGGCTGCTTCGGTTTCGCCGGGAAGTAAGGATTATTCCAGGTCACGGAGGGGCCTTTGTCGAGGCGGGTCCGAAAAGCGGAGGAATCCTAAAAATTGCAATCGCAGGCGAATTAAGCAACCCGCCGACCGGAGGAATTGGATCCGCGGAACCGCTGGGGAAGTTTAGGCCCCGTCTGGCTCTTTTGGCGGACTTTTCACGATTAATTTACCGTGGCGGAGTAATCCTGTCTCTTCCTCCCCCGCTGGGCTCCTCTTACCGTTTCTCTTTCTGCCCTTTGGCCTCTTATCCCCTGCCCTCCAATTTCGAGGCCGGCACTCTTTTTAATCTCGGCGGGACTCCGTGGCATTGTGATTTTCGTTTTCCTTAAAAAGGGGACAAAGGGACGCAAATATCGTGAAGCCAGTCGTTTACGGACTCCGGTGACTCGCTTTTCCTGGGCGAAAGCGAAAGAGGAGCGAGAAGGAGGGGAGGAGAAAGGGAGGCGGAGCGTGCTCTACCGTAAAGAGCACCTTAATTCAAATAACACTTCCTTTCAAGGCTTCGTTCTTTCGAAATTAGCACGGACCCCCCTTTAACGATGTCCTTCACTGTAACGCCTTGCGACAAAATCCGACTCCCTTTGAACCTGGCTCCATTGATCCGGGATGCAGGAATTCCGATTGAATGCGGATACTTTAAAGTCGTTCTCCAAGATGCGGAAATAAACGGTTTCCAAGGGTGCGCGACTCCTGGATAGGAGTCCGGAAAACGTGGAGAAATTTTCTATGCGTAAATCCGATGGTCCTAAAAATTTGACGACTCGGTGGCGAAGTCGCATCCAAGAGTCTCGACGAAGTGAACCGAGAGATGCGACTCGGTGCAATAAGCAGAAGTGGAGCGAGAAGACAATGCGGAACCATCGCCGGTCCTAGCTTACGAATTATTCATACATAGACATATATAGGGAAAGCCTCATTAACACCAGACCGGGTCCTGACTTCGATAAGGCATTGCCTCCACGCCACGTACTCTGCAGCTGCAGCTGCACTTGCTCCACGGAGCCTTGACGGATGAACCCCTTAATCAAGGGATTCAGGTCGCGACGTTTGCATACTGCGTTTCAACCTACTCGTTCCTATGTGTTCCTCGAGTTCCCACGAAAGGTTAACCCCTCGAAGCGACGATTTCATCCGCGTCTAGTCAGAAGTTACACTTAGCGAGAAAATGTACAAGACGGGAAAAATAATCTCGGGAGCACCGCAACAATTTGTATGAATATTTTATACGCGAAGCAGGGGAGAAAGGAGGACCGGCGCGAGCCGATATTTATGAGCACGACCGCTATGATCTAACAACACTCGACATAAATCCAGGGAAACGCGTGATTGGAGACGACGTGTTCCGAAAGTGAAGGCATCACGGGGGGGACGAAAAGGAAACGCGAAGCAATAATATCGGGCAGAAAGAGAGAGAAAAATCCGCTGAAGCGGGCTGGAACGAATGGCCGAAGGAGAGTTTTACGGAAGCTCGAATTCGGAAATGGCCCTTCAATTCGATAATTGCTTTCCATCCCATTGTTCCCGAATGATCGCGGGTGAGAGAATACGAGCGAAGGAAACGAATGGTGGTAATAAAATAAATAGGACTCCCGCTTCCCTTTGTGGGCCTCGGAAAAAGGCACCGGACGCCGATGGGATAGGAGTGTCATCGTTTCGCTTCGAGCAATTACGATCTTGAAATGAGACTTTTCTCCGTAAAGCAGGTACCTCGCGCACGTTGGGGCGAATTTTGGTACTCGTTAGTTTGAGTGGAATCGTTTCGCCACCGTTACGAGGACCTTAGAGACATTGGGCAGCCCTACGCCCAATTGAATCGAATCGCACCTCGAGAGCAGGATGTAATAAACTATCAGTTCGCAACGACTTCCGGCATTTCTTAGTCCGAGTACGGGGCACACTCTCTGCATACTCGGACGACATTATTTTTTCCCGACTACTCTTGATTCATAGGAGTCGGCGGGAAGCACCAAGAATGGCGAGAAGCGTTGCAAATTGAGTGATAACAGGAAGTACCTGTACTTATGTCGCGATCGGCGGATCTCGTACCGTTAACGAGTACGACTAATTACCGAGTCGAGTGATCGAGTTCAAAGGCGGGTCGCGGGTCGCATTTAATTTGTTTAAATCTGTATCGGAGCGGATGTTATCAATTAACGGAAATACTGAAAATTCGAATGCAGATAGTATCAATTGGATCAGCCCGAATACCGTCCGATCCATCGGTGAAATTGCAATCGAGCGATTCGCGCCTGTTCGGGGTGGCGTTTCGAGCCATTCTTGGGACCCTGTCCAGGCAAGGTGGAGGAACGCGAGAGGCCGTGAAAAATCAATTTGCGGGTCAGAACCGAGCAATAAATCTCGATTTTTCTGTTAAAGAAATTGCCCCTGAGAACGGCGCCAGGGGACCTGAAATATTAACCGATCGACAATCGCACGTATATCCAAGTATCGATCCGATCCCCTCGGTCGCACCCTATCAACCTCTTCCTCCTGACTAAACTTTCCTCTCGTCCGGGCACGCTCTTCCCACGAAACGTTATTAGATCAAGAGGGAAACCCCCTTAAAGCGGACTTCACCCCGCAATATCTGTTTCTAATAACATTTTCCCTTCGCGCACCTTGCCGCCCTTATTTCCCGTCTGCCTCTCCGGGACGAGCCGGTCAAATTGGAAATATTTTCGACGCTGCAACGAGGATTAAATTCGCTCCTTCCGTGCTCTCCACCTTGTCCAGGATATTTCCTTTCTTCCTTTTCCCCCGACTCACCTGCCCAGCGAAGCGCCAAATCGTCCGCTTTTTCACGACCCTCGAACAAGTGTTCGCGAAAATTGGCTATTTCATGTACCCAGCAGCAATGACGAGACCGGCATGGTTGGACAACTCTATTGGCTCGTATTCTATCTTCAGTGTCAACATTTATTTATTTTTCGTAAGACCGCGTCGTTTCATGGGGTGCTACAGGAGCCGAGCTGCGTGCGGCCGCAATTACGTGCGTGTACGAGTTTCCCCATTGAACACGGTGTTCGTCTACGTCACTTAACAAGCTTCATCGAATCCTGCGGGACTTTGGTTTCCCGCAGGACCTGGTAGATGCGTTGATTTTAGAGAGGAGCACGCCACCGATATTTCCCCGAAAATCAGGAAAATTAGATCGGAAGGGAGCCGGAAACCCGCCTTCGCCGAAGCGATCGCTTCGGGGAGGGTTATCGAGGAATCTCATTAAGGATTTCAGGACGAGTACGCGAACGCGTGGTTGCATGTGCGATCGTACGTTATTATATCGGTGTACTCGCCGGTACGCAACAACGGATCACCGTCAATTAGCCGGTATTATTTCTGGGATACGAATTAAAGCGACTGCAGGACATCAAAGAGATTCCGGTTATCCTTTCGTGGTTACAAATTGCACGTGCTCGTGCATAACCCATCGTTAGGGTGTCCCTCCCCGTTGAAATCGAGGCAGGAAACGTTAAATATGGAGACTGTTATTTTTTTATTATTTCTTTTATACCATCTTTGCTCTCGAGATCGTAGGCGTCTCCTTCCAACCGCTTCGAAATTTCTGCCCACTCAGCCAGAAAAGGAA